TTGGATTACTTTCTTTGCATGATTCTTAGAGCTGGAAACAGTTTGTGAGTCCTGTTAAGTAATCAAGAAGTAACCTATTAAACCCACAAAGCAACAAATCTTTAGTAAGAGTTAATATATCACATCTTCACATCAAGCTGTTGAAAGAGTGATACTGAAAATGTTGCTGTATGTTCCTATTGAAATGATAAAGTGAGACAATAGAGAAACCAGTGAAACTAGAGAGATGCTTAACGAAGTGGACCTTTGTTTTAGATGTAGCAAACTATTCTTAACACTTCATCTTTGCTCGGCTCTAAAATCATATCTATTTTTAGATCCATAAAACAAAAGACTTCCAGCCCGAAGAGCAAACAGATTTAGGGACCCTCTATGGACAAGCATGCTCAGTTTTGGAGGTAATATCTACGTGAACTGTTGCAGACAGAGTCAACAGAAAAAGAAAAATCCACCATTTCTGTTCCTGCAAAAGGTCCCTCTTTGAAGCTTATTCATTATGACATAAAGGCAGATAAATCCTATAAACTGGAGTGACGGTTTTGGCAATGGATTCCTATTTTAATGTCTTGTAATTCCTTTTATAAAAGTAGTAAAGTCGCCTTATCCTTATCATTTACCTTTTATAGCCAGCAATCTCTCTTATTGGTTTAATCAATTCAGGCAGTGTTGCGGTGTGATAGTTACAGAGGGATTTTGTCACGTTTCCACAACAATCTTCAGTGCATGAGAAATGTTATGTGCAAAGAACTGAAAAGTGTGTAAAGCATTTGTGTTCAGTCCCCTTGATTTTAAACCCCCTTGATAAATCACATGCGACTACTTGCCCTGAAAAAAATCCCTTCACCAGGTGCAGCCCGTTTTCTAATTGGGCAAACCCAGCTGTTCTGTGAAGGCCTCAGAGTTTCCTTACAGAACCAACAGCTTCATAAAGACCAAGGATTACAGCAGACAGGCTGAGGGGAGAGCTTCAGAGAGATATGAGGGAGAGATAGGTTAAACAATATGTTACTGATCAAATCTGGAAATATCTGGAAAGGGACAGACATTTGCACAACTGCAGAATTACCAATATATGGTCTTCTGTCTTAACTGATAGGCTGGACGCTGTGAGCATTCATTGGAGAAGCTGCCAAGAGGCGTACGGTAACTTTATGGAAGCTCCAGATCAGATCAGATCAGGCATTAACAACACATTCCACGAGATTGGCCTTTTTAGAAAGGTAGAAGGCTGGTGTTGAATGAAAACCATGAAAATCCTGTTTACATTTTGCACCTTCCATGTTGCAGACCCTGTGAGTACGACTAAGAAGGAGCTCCAGTGAGGTCTAACTAAAATTCAACAATCGTTCCTACTTCTTTGAGGAAGAAAACTAGTGCTTCACTTTTTACTCTGCACTCCATCCTACAGGGAAACACGGTGGTGCAAGCATCATGTTGTGGAGTTGCTTTGGGGGTTGATAGAAACGTATATTGAGCTCAAGACAAGACAGCACTGGTGGAAAAGGCTATCAGAGGCTTCATGAGTCTTCAAACTGAGGTTTCGCCTTCTAACAGCCATAAAGTTTAGGGAGTAGTGGCTTGGTGGTTACAGCACTGTGCTTGGATCCAAGAGGTTCTTAGTTCAAGCCCCCACTCCCACAGACTGCCACTCTGAGTCCCTAAGCAAAAGACCTTTAACCCCACATTGCTCCCCAGGCACCGCACAATGGCAGCCCACTGCTCCCCAAAAGCATGGTTCAAATCCAGAGAGTTCTGTTCATTGCTTGGTACTTGTGACAGTGTAATGACAATAACAGCTGGAAAAGTTACAAGAGGAAGAAATAGACCAATGCATATAAATCCAACCTAGATCATGGTATTTCTGCAAAACTGATGTTTACAGACATTAACATTACCACAAAAAAAGCTTTGATTGTGGTTTTAATGTGGTATGAGCACCTTTGCAAGACACTGCTTGCATATCTACACCAAATCAAGTCTATTATTCAATATATCTCATGTCCATTCCATAAAACTGAAATAACTTCCCTGCATGACAGCTATGTCAGCAGCCTGGGAGTAATAATCAGCTGTAAACCTTCACTGCGCTCTCTGATCCCATGTCCAAAGGGCACGCTGGAGCGAGCGCTGCAGCAATAACAAAACACAGTTATGATTGCAGAAAGTGACAATAACTCTAATCGCAGCCATGGAGGAGAGTAAGGAGCTGGAGAAGTCTGTGGAACGGAGAGGGGTGAGTTAACCATCAGGGTTTAGTCTGGTTGGGGTGTAAATAACTAATATGGATGATGTTTGTGAAAGAAGTCTCTTTTTGTCCTCCACATTAGAAACTAACACCAGTTCTGGCACTGGCCACTCTTATCTCTGCGTTTGGTTCATCTTTCCAGTATGGGTATAATGTGGCTGTGATCAACTCTCCAGCACCAGTAAATGATTTTTGTTTTTTTCCCTCTAGCAGTCATTCATGCTTAGAGTTTATTAGAGACACATCATTCGGTCTTGTCTGCTTCTTTGCAGTTCATGCAGGAGTTTTATAACGAAACCTACACAGATCGTTACGATGAACCGATGGGGGACAACCTCTTGACCCTCCTGTGGTCAGTGTCTGTGTCCATGTACCCTCTGGGAGGCTTCTTTGGATCTCTGATGGTGGCTCCTCTGGTTAACAAGCTGGGCAGGTGAAAACTTCTTCACAGCGAGCGTGCCAACTCTGTATCCATCTGCAGAGAGTGTTTTAAATCTGCTTTCATCTTGCAACAGGAAGGGCACCCTTCTCTTCAACAACATCTTCTCCATCGTCCCGGCGATCATGATGGGGGTCAGTGAGATCGCCAAGTCCTATGAGATCATCATTGTGGCCAGGTTCATAGTGGGGATATGTGCAGGTTGGACATTTTTTGACTTTATTTGACAGTACTCTGCAAAGTTTTTACACTCATGGAGCTTTTTCGCATTTTGTCACTTTGGGGTTTATTCCATAGCTGATGCCTTTTTTTTTTTACAGAAAAATCTGAAGGTGCAGCCCTTATTCATAGTTAGCTCTTAGAGTCTGTATGGATTTTTGCCAATCCATTTCTATTCTTGTCACAGATTGTTATCTTGACTTTGAACCTTTATAAAACGTTTAAATATATATCGTTTTAATACAGAGGTTCCCAAAGTGGGAGTAGGACTTATCGGGGTGACGAGACACCGAGTGGGGTGAGCCTTTAGATACACGGAGGGCTAAAATATATCAAACATCTGTGAAAAACACATTTAACATGCATTTATCCCATATATTATTCAAATATTGAATATATAATTAGTTTGTAAAATGCACAATTAAAAGTCCCCTTAAATAATTATAGTTTACATAATGAGTTAAATAGTTGAATATGAATTTAATTACTTAACTTTATATGTAGAAATAAAGAGTGAAGTATTCATCTTTATCTTTTTTGGGGGGTTGCCAGTCAGTTGCATTGCTGTTTTTTAAGGTCACAGACTGAAATGTTTGGGAACCCCTGATTTGTATTATTCAGATCTGTGATTTTATTTGGTTGTTTTCCTACTGGAAAGTGAACCTCTGTTCATCTTTTGCAGCCTCTACCAATATGAGATACAGTGCTGTGCAAAAGCATTTAGTGCCCTTACACTTTAGACCTCTTGCCACATTTCAGGCTCCAAACATAAACACATAAAATTTTAATTTTCTGAGAAGAATCAACAAGTGGGACACAAACATGAAGTGGAACGAAATTTATTGGATATTTTAAACTTTTTTAACAAATATAAAACTGAAACAATGGGTGTGCAAAATTATTCACTCTCCTTTACTTGCAATTACAGCTGCAAGTTCGGGCTATGTCTCTATCAGTTTAAACATCGCGATACTGACATTTTTGCCCATTTTTCCTTGATGCTGCCAGCACCATGATGCTGCCACTACCATGTTAGACAGTGGGGATGGTGTGTTCAGCCTTGTTGCTTTTATGCCAAACAATGTTTTGCACTGCTACCAAAAAGTTTGATTTTGGTTTCATCTGATCAGAGCTTCTTCTTTCACATGCTTGCTGTGCCTCCCAGCCGGCTTGTGGCAAACTTTAAATTAGGCTTTTTATAGATATCTATATAAAAAATGGCTTTCTTCCATAAAGGCCAGATTTGTGTAATCACAGTCGTATACGACTGGTTGTTGTCCTAAGTGCAGAGTCTCCTACCTCAGCTGTAGATCTCTGCAGTTCATCCAAAGTCATCATGGGCCTCTTGGCTGCATCTCCAATCAGTCTTTTCCTTGTGTGAGCTGAAAGTTTAGAGGGACAGCCAAGTCTTTGTAGATTTGCAGCGGTCTGATACTCCTGCTATTGCAATATTATCGCATGCACAGAGCTCCTTGGGATGTTTAAATCCAGCTTTAAGCTTCTCCACAACAGTATCTCAGACTTGCCTGGTGTGTTTCTTGTTCTTCATGATGCTCTCTGCACTTTAATCAGACCTCTCAGTCTATCACAGAGCAGGTGCATTTACACAGGTGGATTCTGTTTATCATCATCAGTCATTTAGGTCAACATTGGATCATTCAGAGATCCTCACTGGACTGGAGAGAGTTTGCTGCACTGAAAATAAAGGAGCCAAATAATGTTTCACGCCAAACTCTTGAGTTTTATTTATGTTTAAAAAAAGTTTAAATTGTCCAATAAATCTCATTTCACTTCATGATTGTGTCCCACTTATTGACTCTTAAAAGTTTTGTATCTTCAAATGTTCAAGGGGGCTGAAAACTTTTGCAAAGCATCGTATCTAATGTTACTAAGCTTCACTGTCTATAATGAGCTATAGCATACCCACAGCATGATGCTGCCATCGCCTTTACTTGTCGTGGTGCATTCACAGTGATATGCAGGGTTAGATTTCCATCAGCTTTTCACAGTTAGCCAGAAAGTTCAATTTTGCTGCATCTTTCAAGAGATGGTTTATTTTGTCCCTTATGTGACTTGTGACAAACTACTAATAGAACATCATGCAATAGAGTATTCTTCTAATTTGATTGTCTTATCTAAACAGTGTCTTAGGCAGCTGTTTCATTATTGTCGTCCTTGTGTTGCCTCTCATTTATGTGGACAGACTTTTTTTGTCAGGTTTGCTGTTATGCCGGATCTCTGAGGTCTTCATACAACAGCTGGATTAATACTGAGATTATATTTTCTGGTGTTTAAGTGCATTTACATTTTTTGTAGAGATAAAATTAGCTAAATAAAGCTGCAAACTTTTTAATCTTGCAAAAAGTTCAAAATTCATGTGTTATTTATATTCTGCTTTACAAGTATGCACACCTTTGCATGAGTTTTCACTTGAAATCATAAAATGGGACAGAACCTCTTCATATTTGCAGGTCTATCATCGAACGTGGTGCCGATGTACCTGGGAGAACTCGCTCCCAAAAACTTGAGAGGGGCTATTGGCATCGTCCCACAGCTCTTCATCACCATTGGCATCCTGGCTGCACAAGTGATGGGCATCAGAAACATACTAGGCAACAACACAGGTCCTCATAAATCCTAGAAAATGTCTGCTGCTGCTGTTTTATTCCTCCCACTCAGCCTTTAAATTAAACCTGTCCTGATCCAGGCTGGACCATCATGCTTGGCTTGACGGGCATTCCTGCAGTGATAGAGCTGGTTTTCCTGCCCTTCTTCCCAGAGAGTCCCAGGTACATGCTCATCCAGAAGGGAGATGAGAAGAACAGCCGGAAGGGTGAGAAGACAAGAGTGAAAAGTGCTTTATGTGGCTGATTTAAAAGTAAATTCAATTGTGTTCTGGGTTTTGTCCCTCTCAGCATTGCAGCGTCTCCGCGGCTGGGATGATGTGGATGCAGAGGTGGAAGAGATGCATCTGGAGGACCAGTCGGAGCGGGCCGAGGGCCGTCTGTCGGTGGTGTCCCTGCTGTCCCAGAGGTCTCTCCGCTGGCAGCTGATCTCCATCATCATTATGAACATGGGCCAACAGCTGTCAGGGGTCAACGCGGTGAGGCATCCTTCACTTTGTGCTTCAACACACTGATCTTTGTTGTTTTTTTACAATATGAAGCAGATGCATCCCTGCTCTTGTGTTGCTTTATGTTCTTTAACCTAAAAAATACTTCTTTTACAGATCTACTACTATGCAGACAGTATTTATGGTTCTGCAGGAGTAAATGAGAAAGACGTCCAGTACGTTACAGTGGGGACAGGTGCAGTGAATGTCTTCATGACCATAGCGGCTGTGGGTACCCTGGAATAACAAAAACTGCAAATGTAGAAGAGCTGATTATACCAGTTAGAGGCCTTGGTTCTGAAGAGGACGTTTTCTGTCACAGGTCTTTATCGTGGAGTCCTCAGGCCGACGGCTGCTCCTTCTTTTGGGGTTTGGCATCTGCTGTGGGGCCTGTGTGCTGCTGACTGTGGCCCTTCACTTCCAGGTAAACTGCTGCAGTGGGTCTCCAATTAAAGATGGCACTCTGGTGCCCTCTACTGGTTGATCCACAGATCTTCTCTGTTCTTTTTTATTCACAGTTTTAATGTTTTAAATAATCAAACATCAAACAGTTTCATCAAACAAACAAAAATCAAACACAAACAGCCTGAGTAGCTAAAATAAATAAATTAATAATTTCAACAATAATTAAAAAAAATAAACTAAGCCAAATTAACAATATGTGAAAACCTGTTTTGTCCCCTAACCTATTATTTGGTTATATCAACCTTGTTCAGCAGCAAAATCATCAAGTGTTCAGCAAACTGGTAATGACTCTTTAACATCAAGTGGAGGGATTTGTGCCACCATACTTAACTAGATTTTTAAAAGTCAGTTGCAATTGGATTGCATTGGATCATGCTAAGGCATCTCACTTGGATTTCAGTCGGACCTTCAACCATTCAGAGTAGGACTTGTTAGTGAGCTTTAGAGCCTAGAGAAACCTAAATGTGTTTCATCTTCAGATTAAAAACTGGTGGTTAAATTTTTTTCATCATTTTTAGTCTTCTTTTTCAGCTGTGGTTTTGGCCTTGGACGTCTCTGTTAACCTAATATTAGATTTTACTAACCAGAGTTGACAAGATTTGGGGGTTACAGCTTCATGGTGCACTCTAACAATGTTTCCAGAGGTTTTTGCAGGAGATACAAGTCTACAGCATCACAGAGCACACATGCTCTATGGTCTTTCCTGTTTTCGAAAGTGAGTCAGAGAAGTAGCCTCTGTAGCACAACATCTTTGTACGCCAAAAGAAACAGGAAGTAATGGATTATTATGCAAAGTTCAAATTCACTGTGATTAGTATGTTTTACAAAGATGTTTGTGGTATATTTGTTTAAGGCTGTTAATCAGTGTGCAATCTAATTATTCAGAAAAAAAAAACCTGAAACTATTGGATAATTTTCATTCCCTGAATAAATATTCTCAGAATAAAGGCTGTATTGTTAAGTAACTGAAGGGTGCTGAAGGAGGATAAAGCTCCTGCTTATTTCTTTTTGTTGGGATAAAATGTTTTACATTAATAGAAACCTATAAGAAACTCTGTTCAGTTCAGTTCTGGTCAGTTTCAAAAAATGACATAGAAGAGTTCTCAAAGTATTGCATTTCTTCTCAGCTATAGTTTTCACAGCCACAATGAATATGAAAATCAAAAAAGCTTACCTGGAGTTTTTACCATGCTTTAGGATAGTTATACCAAAGGCTCTCTTTTCCATGTTTATAACCACTCTGCTGTAACTCATTTAACTAACATGTGAAAAGTAATACAGGATCAATTCAATCAAAACATCAGTAAAGAAGGACATGGACACAAGGAAAATAAAGCCATAGTAACAAAACCACAAAGGATATATGATAAAATAAGAAAACTGTTGGAAAATGTAGAACTTTATTGAAAATAATTGCCAGTTTTAGAACTAATGTATTTTTAGTTGTTTTAATCACAGAAATAACTAAAATGTGAGGGCCTAATAACAGCAGCTGTTCTGCAATGTTTTATATTCCACTCCTGCAGATCACATCTGTTTCGAGAAAAAAAAATGGTCTCGCATCTCTGCTGATGTTTTAGAAAATCCAGGGCAGAGCATGAATTATAAACAGACTGACCCAGAGCACAGTCCCTCCTGAAACCACTGTATGGTTATCATAGCTGGACACACATGTAACAACAGACTAATTAGTTATTAACTCCTTATCATTTTTCTTCTAGAAGACAGTTCTGTTTCTGTTGAGAACTAATTATGTGATTAATGACAATGTTTTTTTTTTATTTCTGTTGACAGGAAAACGTATCATGGATGCCTTACATCAGCATCGCGTGTGTCATCATCTACGTCATAGGACATGCCATCGGTCCCAGTAAGCCTGACCCACCTGTGGTTATTTACTCAGATGCTGGTTACAGCAGCTGCTCCATTAGCTGAAGTGCTGCTTGGACCAGACATGTAATCACAGATTTAGTAAACTCAGCGCTTTGGTGTGCTTGATGTCAGCCTCCTCTCTGTGGCTCTAGAAGAAGGATTGTTTGTTGCAGTGTTTAGAGTAACGTTGTACTCGGCAGGTCCCATTCCCAACGTGGTGACCACCGAGATGTTCAGGCAATCGGCCCGGCCAGCAGCTTTCATGGTCGGAGGCTCCGTCCACTGGATCTCCAACTTTGCTGTTGGCCTAATTTTCCCCTTCATGGAGGTTGGTTATGCGAAGGAGCAGAGACTTATTAGACCAACTCCTAATGTTTATGTGTAGATTTTTCTTATATTCAACACTCAAAATATTTCACCCAGATTTTAAGATTTATGTAAATTTATTACATAACAAATTCCCATTTGCTTTTTTTTTTTTAGTTCATTTTAACACAAACCTATGAAATAAACCTCACATGGCCCATTTTCCTTTGAATAAAAAAGCATATTTGTTTGAAATAAACAATCATCATAATCATCACACTCCTTAATTATAACTTTGAGTAAGTATAATTGATCAATTCTGAATACATAAACCCAACATTTATGCATTTTAAATTCATTAGCTCTATCACTAATTAACTTAAGAATATGTGTCATATAATGTTCATTTAATAGGTTTAAAATTATCTAAAAACAAGTAAATGGGAATTTTTTATGTAATAAAATTGCATAAATCTCTGTGAAAGTGAAAGCAAAGCAAATCACAGTAATAAGATGAAAAAAAAAGTTATTCAAATGATTTAAAGTATTTAAATCTCTTAAGCTTTCTTACATTTTGTGACAATACAAACCCACAACTAAATGTGTTTTATTGGAACTTCTTGTTTTAGGCAATCTTTAAAAGGACTTAGGTTGCGTTATAAAACTCACTGTCAGGATTTTGGTGTTGGTTTGGAGGAACCAAATGCAGAGGCAGGTAGGCAGAGGTGAATTTAGGTGGGTTTAATGAGGTTCACAGGAACTGAGGCAGGAATCAAAAATCCAACAAAAATAACAAATGAATCCGAACCAAGGAGACATCAGGGGAAAACCAAACTCTAGAAAGAGAGGGCTAACGAGGGGATTGAAAACAGGTGAGGGCAGAGCAGAAAACAGAGCAAGGGAAAGAGGACACAAGAGGGCAGCAGAGAACAACAAATGGAAAACCAAGACTGTGACACTCACCAGTTTAGTAAATTGGGTCCACTCAGTTTTATTTTATTAGGTAATATTAGTGAACAAACAGCAACATGGAGATCATTTAACAAACCAAAAAGTTTAGAAATAGAAGAAGTATGGTATAATTTGCCTCACAACCAATTTTGGAGATATGTCCAATTAAGTAGTTTATTGTCCAAATGGCTGGGAAGCCCTCTCAGATGTCCTTCAGGCAGCTTTGTTGAAATCTTGCTTTGTACGCTGGCCAATGGCAAAGGTGTTACCTCTAACATATACAAAATGTTGATTATTCAATTGGGTGACTCATTATCAAAGGTTAAAAAACTCAACTGAAGACATGGCCCTGGACATCTCTGAAGGTGATTGGCACTCATGTTTACCAAATGTAAACACAATGTATAAAGAAATTAGTAATTATTCAATTAAAATCTTTCATCGATGACATAGAACCCCTCAACAACTCCATAAATGAAAGTTTATTCCTAAAGACGCTTGCTGGAGATGTAATGAAGAGGGAGGATCTATTCTACATATTCTCTTGACCTGCCCTGCTTTCCAAGACTGGTGTAGAATATTATGGAGGTCATTTTTGAAATATTGGAAAGAAGGTTTAATATCACTGCCAAGCTTGCAGTTTTAGGCTCCACAGTAAAACTCCCAGACTCACACTTCTGGTGTAATATTATCTTCTGACTAAGTGAGATACAGCCTCCTGTGTAAAATTCATCAGTGTGATTATACATGGTCTGCTTTTACTAACTGGCTAACTGTAAAGTAGATTTTGAAAGGTTAGTGTGGCATGTTGACATATTTGCTGTATTTTTCTATAAAACAAAATTCAGTAAAGTATTACATAATGGCAGACCTAATGAAAACATGGAAATCCAGTTGAACTGATTGGACAAGGAGAGTTACAAGGCCAAGAAGCCCTCAGGAGGAGCTGCAGAGATCTACTGCTCAGGTCATTTTGTTATAAACTCCACACTTCTGGCCTTTATGAAAAGCAGCTGGAAAAGGAAGTCATTAAGTCATGTTTTCAGTTTACCAAAAACCATGTAAGGCAGAGTGTAAACATGAAAGAACATGATCTTGTTAGATGGTTACATGCACATTGTTATTTAAGGTGGAAAACTATGACTGCTCGCCCCCACAGGCTGAGAGTGAAGCACAGTGGTGGCAGCAGCATGCTGTGTCTTGCTTTTCCTCTAAAGGGAACAGGGAGAACTGGTTTGAAATGATAGGGAGACTGATGTCCTAGGCAGTGCTGAAGGAAGAAAACATGTTAGTTTGTGAAAAACTGGAGGCTGGAGTGTAGATTAAGTTTCCTACAGGACAAAGCCCCTGAACTACAGCCAGGGTTACAATGGAGGGTTTAGATCAAAGCATTTTCCTGTTACAGGATCGAGTCAAATCCAGATCTGAAGGCTGTTTACAGATTAAAGCAGATAGCTGGTGCCATTTAGAATGGGTAACAAACTCCTTCTAAATGGAGATTTATTCTTTACTTTTTGTCAAATACCACAAAACGCTGAAAAGTTTGTGATTGTAATATGGCAAACAACTCTGTAACTCTGTAAAAACAAAACAAAAAACATATCCCCAGTTTATATATTTTGAAAACTTTTAATGCTAAATTGAATGTGAGACATCTGAGAGTGTGAACATATGAGTTTACAGGCACAAGCCTGTTTAAGATCTTTTATCAAAGAAATTTTTAAAGTTTACATCAACTAGTTCTAGATGTAACATCATTAAGTTTGTAAATCAGTACTAATTAGGCCATTTAAGAAAGAAGATATTTCCTCCGTTATTTATGGCTCAAGCTGCTCTCTTTTTGATAAACAGATTGTTGGAACCTTCTAGATGTAGAAAAACATGAATGAATAAAGCAAACAAGTAAGGAATGTGTTTAGGGGGTAGAACAGTTTTTTCCATACAAGAAATCATACTATCTATCTTCTGTTTATGGCCAGCTGTGTCTCCCTGACATATTTACAACCTCTCCTCCTGAGGACAAACAGATTAGTTTTCCTCTCCTTCCTTATTTTTCAGAGAGGCCTCGGCGCCTACAGCTTCATCATTTTCTCCGTCATCTGCCTGGTCACGCTGATCTACATCTGGATGGTGCTGCCTGAAACCAAGAACAAGACCTTCCTGGAGGTTTCCCAGATGTTCGCCAAGCGGAACAAAACGGAGATCAAAGTCGGGGATGGAGATCTGCCTCTTAAGGACAGCAAAGAGAGCCTGGATAATTCAGAAAGGAGCACAGCCTTCTGACGACATAAACGAGAGAACTGAGAGGAAAATTTTAGCTGCAGGATGCATAGAGGGATATCAGAGGTTTAATTGTGACTCCACTATCTTTGCAGGGATTCAGACTCAGGCTGGTTGATTTTGGCACGATTAGTTTTTAACATTCTTCAGCAGGTTAAAAATATTTAATAGTTGCAAAGATGTGACAGTATTTTAAAACACAAAACAAAAAAACATAAACTTTTAACGTAGGCCTTTATTTATGATGCACAGACATGGATACATGGATGAAACTATGAAACATTTTAAACATTGAACTGCAAGAGCCTGATATGCATTTTATCTTTTATTACCATCACCATTTTCTAAGGTCATACCATTAGATGGGATGTTTTGCAGCTTGTGAGCTCATTTCACAAGCAGGACAGGGTTTTCAGCAGAATGGTTGCAAAATTCGGAAACTTTCCATGGGAAATAAGTAGACTTTAGGAAATAAACACTGATATGTTGAAAAATGTGACTAAAATAACTACATTTAATTGCTGCTTACTGCTGAGGTATTGAGCCCATACCCCAATTTACACCCTGAATTCCTTCACCTGCAAAGATGATTTACAAGCGTATTGAAGAAACACATCTGAGCCCATATTCTAGCTGAAGTGAAGCAGCAGTGGGTGACATTATGGGGTGAATAAATATAAAGTGTTGGTTTGTCTCACAGATATTATGACTATGATGGGAGTGTTTTTATAATCATGTTGGAATCCCAAAAACTCACATAGTTTACATGGAAAGTTTGAATTTTAGCAATTTATTTTGGAAATGTCAAAGCCACTTTAGGAACATCTGTACTGGTTGTCCAGCTGCACGCCCCCAAAAATGCGTAGTTTGCTGCTTCCCCAGCTCAACACATTCCCCGCAATAGTGCCGTTTTTCTGGCACAAAAACTGGTCTCGGATCTCTGCTGTGGTCAGCACATAGTCCCAGATGTTGACATCCGTCATTTTACCCACAAAGGCGTCTGTGTTGGAGATTCCCAGATATCCGTCCTGGTCTTTGCCCAGTATGAGCGTACCGCCAGGGCTGATCATGTGGCTGCTTTGGAGGTGCCTCTGCTCCCCGCCCATCCCGTTGATCCACAGGTCCACCCCACCTGAGTGGGACGACCAGGTGACGCAGTAGTTGGTCCAGTCTTGGGTCTTCAAGCTGTGGGGCATGTTGACGAACTCGTTGCTGATCCACAGACCCACCTCCCTCACATTGGTATCGTCAGTGATGGAGACCATCAGCTCGTTATCATGGCCGTTGCTGGAGTAGGAGATGACCGTGTTGACCCCTCTACCCTTGAGGAGAACATGCATGCAGACAGTGAAGGCGTCCAGATCCATGGGCTTGCTGAGTTGAGCCAGAGCGTATGTATCAGCGTTTTTATCATCGAAGCTGAGCACCAGAGGGAAGAGGTCACTGTGTTCTGACGGAGATAATAAAGCTTTCATCAGGCTGGAGAAGCAAAACACACCTTTGAATCATAGTTTTAAAGCTGATAAGCAGACATTTTACTCATATTTCCATTCATTTTAGTCACATGTCAGTCTTTTTGGATTGATTTCCATTTAGCTGAACAATTTTATTTAATACAGATAGAATATTGTGCCTCTGATGACATCATATAACAGATACCAGCATCTCGCCTGCCGCCCTGAGATCTTATCATTTTTATGCTTCTCTTTGTCCTGTAAAAAGCTTGTGTACGCAGTCTGTTATGAAAATAAAGCCTTTCTTATTCAATTTTCTCAATTTGCATTTTTCCCTCAACATGTACGTTTACTAGTATTCTGTATAGCTGGAGTAAAACACTTAAGTAGTATTTCAGAATACTGAATGCATTTTAGGAAAAATATGGCAGAAATAAAACACAAAAGCAGCTTGTGGAGACCTTGGCAGACCATACAATGGGGAAATTTAAATCTCAATAGGTAATTTTTTCTTAAAATAGGTACATTTTTGTCTTGAAGAGAGGAGATAAGTGAGACTCTTTGCCATCTGAGCAAGACATTCATCCATTTTCCATCACGCTTATCCCAGGTGGGGTCACAAGGGAGGGGTGCTGGTGCCTATCTCCAGCTGTCTACCGGTGAGAGGCGGGGTACACCCTGGACAGGTCGCCAGTTATTATCTAAATATCTTATTTAAAGAGTCAAAAAAGCCATTCCATTGGCAAATCATCTTATTTACCTACTCAAATCAAAGGTTAATGCACTTAATTTAAGACATGTGGACTTATTTCTTGATTAGTTTTGCAGTATAAGGCCAGATCTGAAAGATCTTCAGAGACATAAGCATTTTTTAAGGTTCAATTAAAAAAAGCAACTTCCACCAATCAGCCAATCACCTGTCCAACATGATACTAGCAGGGTGTTCCTAATAAAGTGGCTGCAAATGTGTAAAGAACACCGTTTTGCACATCACTTACGACCAAAGGGAAGATAAGGAAATATTTGTCTAAACACTCAGCAGCCAGAAAGTACTCTAGCTAGCTTTTGTACGCTCTTGTGATGTCAACAACCTAAATACACATAAAGAAGAAGTCAGCAGATGTTTTTCAGCAGCCAGATGAGTATTTCATGGGAGTATATGCTATTATAATAAAAACACTGGTAGTAAATATAAAAACATTTACCAGGTTTGAAGGGTCTCAAAGATCGCCCTCCTATTAGAAATAAAAAAAAGATTAATGGTTCAGAAGGTTAGGAGAGGATTTACATTTTTTGTACTTGCATCCAAAAGTTTAAGCACCTGAATACATATTCTTTCCAAGAGAAGTTATCAGACCCTCGATCCTGTGGAGCCTGGATTCGATTTCTTCTTGCCGACAAAAAGCTGAGGAGGTAAAAGGCAAACAAAGATGGCTTTGAAACCAGCTCTGCAAATTCACAAGTCATCTATAAAATAAGCATTTGAAAAAAAAAGCATTATCACACACTTCCTTTCCCGAGGGGTGGCAGGAAAGAGGACTCTACGACGCGGTCGTTGAGTGGCTGAGCAATACGGTAGTCATTCCACAGAGTCTTGTTATCCAAGTCCATTAGAGAACTCTCCAGCTTGTTGATCTGGGTGCGGCGGCAATATGGCAAATTAATGAAACAACAAAAACCCATTTTGGTCTCACACGTTCACTCCACCGTACCTGGTTCTGTGACAAAGTGATAGGCGTGTCGAACACGGTCCAGATGATGCTCTCGTGGCAGGGGGGGGTGGTGAGGGAGCCCTCATACCTAAAGAAGTTACTGAGGTTCTCTGGAAGCATGGAGCGCACGTCGAGGTTGGAAATGTTCATAGACTGGCCTGACAGGGAAACACAACAGCAAGTTAAAGGAGCTCTCTGGAGCTTAGGCTGCAGAAAGACAACTTTGCACATGCGTTAAATGAATACCATGCGGGAAAGCATGTGCATGTTGGGGAAACTCACCTGCAAACTGGATTTTCCCCAGGTTTGATATAAAATCACTGTAATAGGTGTTCTCAAAATGACCATCCTGGAAAAAGGGAGAGCATTTTAATAATCTTTAATCACATCAAGGAAAAAGCCTTTTGAAATGAGCTGAGTGGTTTCACTTTAGATAAAAGCACTAAAACAACTCATTAGGTTCCGGCATTAAAGAATAACTCAACAAATCCCACTTAGTAAACACAAGATGTCTCACATTCGTTGACTATATGGTCCATTTTAACGCTTAAAATAACATCTGTACAAACTGCAAGTAGGTGTGGCGCAAGTACTAGAGAGATCAAGCAAACTTTGACAGGGTAAGGAGATGTTTAGCAGATCGTTCGAATGTAAAAAGATATAAGCAGTAATGTTATCAGCAACAAATACCCACTGGCTTCTTCTTTTGATTTAAATCAAGATTACATAGTACAAGAGGCTAACAGGTAATGGTCAAATAAGAAGGTCAAAAACAACATGGATTCTGTCCCATCTTGGAAACAGCTCAATTTTAAAAGTCCTTAGAGTCATTTTTACACAAGATTGTACAAACTATTTACCATTAAAGTAATGTTGACAAGAGCTATATGGGTTATAAAAGAGTTTGCAAAAACCTTTAAAAAATAATTGAACTTTATTGATCTAACATTGGAGAAATTTACCTCTGCATTTAACCCAGCCCAGTGGGCTGCCATTGTGTGGCGCCCGGGGGAGCAGTGTTGGGTTAAGGGTTTTGCTCAGGGATCCAGAGTGACAGTCTGTGGGAGTGGGGCTTGAACTCAGAACCTCTGAATTCCAAGCTGTATGCCCTAACCACCCGGCGCCACTCCCCCCTGATGTTTGAGAGATTAGCTTTTTTTGTAGTTCTTGCTGCCTTTAGCCCTGGCCTCTTGCTAATCTAAGTTTATAATAAATCAAGAGCTGACTTCTGCTGGCAAGTTATTTACTTCCTCATCTTTAAAGCAAAACCTACTTCATTCTCTTTTAACTTCAAAATGAGGATGACTTGTTTGAGCAAGTAAAAAATAAAAACTCTGCAAAAGGCGCACTTTATCTAAATTGTGGAAGTCATCTTAGTTGTTCAAAGGGCAGCTTGGTCTTTGCTGCTGTCAGAGTGGATGCCAGCTGAGCCGTTGCTGCCACAATGACCTTAAAGCACGGGGAAGGAAGTTTCTTATAGCTCAGACGTGTCTCAGTTATCTAGCTGCACCTTCAATGTATCATGGTGAGAAAAACTTACTTCAAAAGCCAGCTGATTATTGTTTGTAGCTTTTTTCTGCACAAAGAAATGTTTAAAACTGCCTCTAACAGAACAAATGCTCATTTGTTTTTCTAAGTGCTCTCAGAGCTGATTAAGGTGCTGAGCAGACAAGCAGAGGAAGGTCTTTGTGGCTCACATACATCATAGACAAACGCAAGCACCGCCAACCCATCCGGCTTATCTTTGGCCTCAGAGAAGCTATTGTACTTCTTAGAATTGTAATGAACGACGTGGAGCTGCAAGAGACACAAACACGTCAGATTTAAAAGGGACAAAAAAAAATATATTTATTGAATATTTTCCAGGAATTGAATAAATCATTCTTTTACTTCTGGTTTCAAAGCCTACCTCTGCCATGTAGCGGACACCGTCTATGGTGTGCTCCGCTCCACTCAGCTCAGAGTCCAGGCCACCCCAGTGCAGGTGCATCTGGACAGCTGTGAACTCTCCTGGGAGGCCCTTGGTGATCTTCATCGTGTCAGGCAGGTCGATTTGAACTGAGGGCCACATTAACATTTCATCACCGACCTTTAATACTTTATTGTTCATTTGCAGCAGCCCTCCAAACCTATTTATTCAAAGACAGCTTCAAATAAACAATAAGCTCGGTGCTTATAAAAAGAAAAAGAAAGCTATTGTGCAATGTGTGTTTCTATTGTTTCTATGCTAGTTCATTGCTGACTTATAAAACGTGTAGAGCAGGACCCACATAAAGGGAGGAAACACTTTTTTATTTCAAATAAATTAGATACTAGACTTGATTACTGAACCGGTAGCAGGTGGTTGATTACAGAGGTGTCAAATAACTAAGTACAAATACTTTGTTACCTTATTCAAGTAGAAATTTTGCCTATCTAAACTTTACTGGATTAATTATCTTTTAGACAAATTTTTACTTCTTCTCCTCACATTTTTTGCAATAATCTCTACTTTCTACTCCTTAAATTTTAAAAATAGATTTGTTAGTTTTGTTTCATTTTACCTCAATTTCATTATGGCGTGTTGGTATAAAAAATAAAAACTATCAAAATAATTTGTTTTATCCAAACTATTTTTTTTGTGGTTTGCTTCAGTACTGCACCAACTTGTCGCCACATACCAAAATAAATAGTTATTCATGATGATGTAAACATGGACGTAATTTTCGGGGGGGATGGGGGGGGGACATGTCCCCTGCTTTTTTTTCAAACAAGCGTTTTTGTCCCCTGCACTTTTTACTTTTCAAAAACAATGTCACGCTACACAGACATTCCACGAGCAGAAAGCCACAGCTTAACCTGAAGCCCGCTTCCCTGAGTTTAGACCCCCAACAAGCTCCTGATTGGCCCACCATCTTTTTTTGTGCTACTGGCTGAAATTTAAGTTTGATGGATGAAAAGATATATTTGACACTGTTGCCATTAGTTTTTAAACTAAGAAAATGAAGTTTAAGGAAATTAACATCCAGAATTATGGAAAGATTTTCATTTAATAGGCCAGTGCAGTAAAGCATATCTCATTTTTCCTGCATTACTGTTACTTTTAAATTTTGAGTTGTTTTAAAAATTATACTTTGGGATTTTTAAACAGTAGGATTCTAGTTCTACTTGAGTAATAACTATTAATACTTAGGAAGACATGTAACTGAAGTTGGAATTGTATGAACTTACTAGGGAACAAGAGAACAGAATGAAAAAAAAAAACATAATTAGACTGACATAAAACACAAGAATAAAAAGCCCCAAAGATGAAAAACCTCTTACCTGTGTCCATTGTTAGTCATGCGGAAAAGTCCATTCTGAGCCTCATACCCACTCAGCTCTAGCTTTAACATGTCTGGGTTAAACCTGACATTGCGCCGCTGGATGTCTATAGGTGATTGCTTCTTGCCTCCACAGTCTGGGAATTTGGTTGCCCAGTGCATCTGATCCAAGGATCCCTCTGTGGTGAAAGTATTAATTCATAGTCAGTGATAATTAGAGAGAAAAAAAACCGAGAACCTAAAATATAGGTAGCACGGATGACTGCAGATATTAAGCAGCATCGTTCCTTTAGATTATGTTAAAGTCTATTTAAAGTATTAAGCTTTTGTTTGTAGAAGGATTAAACGGAGCGCACAGAACCTGTTCAGCTGGATATTCCAATTGTTTATTGCCTGGTAGGTTATTCACCGCTGAATATTAACAGCAGCTGTAATTTGTTCCCAAAGCTGCCCTAACAAGCTCTAAATGACAAGGCAGCAGTTTCCCAAAAACGCAATTGGCAAATTCACAGCGCAGGGCAAAGAAGCGGTGATCCGACAGCCCAGGTTCATGTAAAACAGATCGTAACAATTTTACTTGATTTACACAAAAATAAAACAAACCCCCCAAGTTTTATGGGTTGTGTTTTTGTGGTTAATATGGGGGAAAGAATCCACGCGGTACCATTTTACGCACGTTTTACGCATCAGGATAACATTTAATCAGGTAAAACGTTATTTTGTAAATATTCCGAGCGCAGAATAAGCCCACCTTTGTATGTCCAGTGTATATCAGTGTGGGCTCCAGCGTTGACCAGGCAGACAAGAGCGGCGGAGACAAACGCGGAGAAGATCTCCATCATGGTGCTTTGGATCAGTCACGCAGGACACCGACACCCCGCAGAGGGCTGCTCTCTGTATTTAACCCGCATGTGGTGGGGGAGGTGTTGAAGGCTCAGCTGAACCCGCCCAGAGCGCTTCCCATCAGTACCAAAGTGACTGGAAGGCAACCACTTAATCTGACACTTATCTGAAATGTGTTTCTAATTTAGTTCAGGCTTGAACTGTTATGGTACATTAAAAAATGTCTGTCTGCTTATTAAGAACATCTACTTTTTACATCACAAATTCATTTGTTAACTTTGGTCTTTTTAAGAATCATATTTTTTTTTCTTCTCACATTTATTTCCCTTTATGTGCAGGAAGAGATTGTTTTGCTAAGTACCCTGTAGTTATGGCCAAAAGTATTGAGAATGACACAAATATCATATTTTCACATGATCTGCTACCCTCTGGTTTTCATGTGTGTATGTCAGATGTTGTCATCACATACAGAAATACAATTGCAATCATATTATGAGTAACTAAAGCTTTTAATGACAGTTAGATTGAGTTAATGCAGCAAGTCAAAATTTGCAGTGTTGACCCCTCTTCTTCAGGACCTCTGCAAGTCTCCCTGGCATGCTCTCAATCAACTTCTGAACCAAATTCTGACTGATAGCAGTCCATTCTTGCACAATCAATGCTTGCATTTTGTCAGAATTCCTAGGTTTTCGTTTGTTCACCCATCTCTTGATAATTGACTACAAGTTTTCAATGGGATTAATATCAGGGGAGTTTTCAGGCCATGGACCCAAAATCTCTATGTTTTGTTCCATGAGCCAGTTAGATATCACCTTTGCTGTATGGCAAGGTGCTCCATCATGCTGGAAAAGGCATCGTTCATCACCAAACTGCTCTTGGACGGTTGGGAGAAGTTGCTCTCGGAGGACATTCTGGTACCATTCTTTATTCATGGCTGTGTTTTTAGGTGTTTTTCAGTCTGTCCCTGATGTTTTTCCTGGAGAGATTCTCATTATCAGTTCGTATGAAATCGTACGAAAAGTTATGCACAGTGTTTCATACGTTTTTGACGTTTTTTTCGTCGTATTTCGTCGTATTTCGTCGTATTTTTACGTCTTGCCTCGAGACAAGATATCCGTGCGCATGCGCATCTTACGCACCATTCAATACCATAAAATTTAACATACAATTAACCCTAACTCTCACCCTAACCTTAACTCTAACATACAAAACAGCAAGCAACCTAGTGAGAGACATCATGAAGTAATTATTGCACTGTCTGTCCCAGTTTTACGTCCGTCCGCTGATCTGCTTTTTTCGTCTGTCTGGCTGCGCATGCGCACTGATATGTTTTTTCGGGGAAAAATGTCAAAAACGTACAAAATACTGTGCATAACTTTTCGTACGATTTCATACGAACTGATAATGAGAATATGTTGAGAGAAGTGGCTTCTTTGCCGCCCTCCTTGAGACCAGGCCTTGTTCCAAGAGTCTCTGCCTCACAGTGCGTGCAGATGCACTCACACCTGCCTGCTGCCATTCCTGAGCAAGCTCTGCACTGCTGGTAGCCCGATCCCACAGCTGAAACACTTTTAAGAGACGGTCCTGGCGCTTGCTGGTCTTTCTTGGGTGCCCTGGAGCCTTTTTGGCAACAATGAAACCTCTCTCCTTGAAGTTCTTGATGATTCGATAGATTGTTGACTGAGGTGCAATCTGTCTTGCTTTCTCTTTCCTGTTAGGCCATTTTTGTGCAGTGCAATGATGACTGCATGTGTTTCTTTAGAGATAACCATGGTTCACAGAAGAGAAACAATGTCAAGCACCAGCCTCTTTTTAAAGTGTCCAGTGGTGTCATTCTTACTTAATCATGACAGATTGATCTCCAGCCCTGTCCTGGTCACCACCCACACCTGTGTTAATGGAGAAATCACTGAAACGGTGTTAGCTGGTCCTTTTAAGGCAGGGCTGCAATGATGTTGAAATGTGTTTTGGAGGATAAAGTTCATTTTCTAGGCAAATATTAACTTTGGAACTGTTAAGCTGATCACTCTTTATAACACTCTGGAGTATATACAAATTGTTGTTATAAAAACTGAAGCAGTAGACTAAACGACTATACAGTTTGTGTGAAAAAGTGATAAACGAACTGAGAAGTCTAGCATCAGTCTGCAAAGGAAGCCTCTTAACGAGAAGTCATGCCAATATCATTGTGAAGACTTGTCATTCAGAGTAAAAAAAGGAACATAAAACCATTTGCATGATCATGCCATCGGACTCTAAGCAATTAATCTTAAAGCTTGTCTAACATTTTAACTCCAAATGTCCCACCTGTCAACTGGATTTCACTCTGCATGGGAGCATCTGCAGCCTGGAATTTTACTGCAATGCTCAACAGCATATTTCTTACTCAAACTCATTCATTTTTTTTGCATGGAGTTTAACCCAAAGGTTGCTGTATGTCAATTAAATGACAGGTAACTGTTACATCCATGTAGACTTACAGCTTAAGGCACATTTTCCCAGCTTTTTGAGTGCATTTAAGAATATTAGTGGCCATTGGTTTTTGTTTTTGTTTCCATTGTTAGATATATTTTTTACGCTGCAAGGTTGTGCAGTTTAAAGCACTGTCTTCTACATCAAGTTAGCATGTTCTTCCCATGCATACATAGGTTCTTTTCAGTGATTCTGTTTTCTTCCCACAATCCAAATACACCACTGTTAGGTTAATTGGCATATCTTAATTGCCCTTTGGTTTGCATGGTTGTATCTCTATGTGTTCTCCTGTGATAGTCAGGTGACCTGTCCATTGTTTCTTGCTAATAGATTGTTGGAGATACTGCTGGAGATAGGCACCAGGCTTCTGACCAAAAAGTTCCTGTTCTTGGAAATGCTGAACAAAAACTCCTACTTAGTCTTGGGAAAATAAAAAAATGCTTTCGGAGCAGGTACTGCTCAGTCCAACTTTGGTCCCTTCTCTGTCTCTTGTCCAGTCAACTCCTCTCCCTGTATCTAATGTGTGTCTCCCTTGATCTCAGGTAATACTGATGTTTTCAGATTGTACAGATGATCCATCTTTAGTAGTCTTGGGGTTTCTAGATAGCGCCTCTTAATTGGTCCTAAGGTTATACTTTGCTTCCTGCTCATTCCTGCCTTGTTTTGAATCTTTTTTTCCCAGCGTTTTATTGTCATTACACTGTCACAAGTACAGAGCAACAAAATTAACTCTCTGCATTTAACCCATTCCCTTGGGGAGCAGTGGGCTGCCATTGTGCGGCGCCAGGGGAGCAGTGTGGGGTTAAGGGTCTTTCCTCTGGGACCCAGAGTGGCAGTCCGTGGGAGTGGGGCTTGAACTCAGAACCTCAGGATTCCAAGCTCAATGCCCTAACCACTAGGCCGCCACTCCCCAAAGCAGGCATTTGCATGAAGGGTCTTCCCTAAGGACCCACACTGGCAGCTCATTCCCACAAGCTGGGACACGAACCCAGGCTTCCCGGTGACTTACCACTTGAGCTAGCCAGCTGAATCTAAGCCTGTTCCATTGGTTTCTTTTTCTCGGCTAAGATCATTGGAACAACAGCTTCTTATTCTAAAAGTGTCCTGACAATGACAGTATCCTGACACCTTTTACCACCTCCGCGTGTATGCCAACTCTCTTTAGTTTTTGACCATCCAACTGAGACCTTTCAGTCTCAGAGGTTCTGACTAATTCCTCTTAAGCTGGTCCGCAAAAAAGTCTGTCGCCAAGTTAAAGGGTGTGTTGTGGATCTTTGGGGGGGCGTCCCTCAGGGCCTAACAGCTCCTTTCAGAGCTGTTATCAGGTAGGTCAGAGGTCTTAGCCACGGGGGTTACTGTGGTACTGCAAGCGTGCCACAACATGTTCTCCCCTCGCAGTTAAACCTCCACCAGTTAAAATGGCTGACGGTTAATTTACTTCTACATCCATCACCCTGGGTCCACTTCAACACAAAAAACAGGGGGAAAAAAGAGCATAGATAAAAGCATAAATGGACCAAAAGGGTGAGTTTTGCATCACAGTATTTCATTGAACGCATCAAAAGATAAAAAAAAAACTCCCATGTAAAATACAGCGGTGCATGTGAGTATCAAATCTACTGGCACTGCTTGAAATGAAGGTGCCTTTTTGTACACCCATATTAGTTCAGCACTGCTGCACCCCTGGTAGTGTTTTTTTTTAAGGAAACCTGCACGTGTTCAACAAAATATAAACGAAATCAAGGAGTAAAATAAACAATGCTTGCATATAACAGGGCTTTATTGATGTCTCTTGGTCCTTTGGAAGATTTAATCAGCAAGGGAATTTACCTGAATGTACCTGAAGTCTACTTGTAGGAACATAAAAAAATACCTCTGAATGCACAGCCAAACACTACTTGAGCTTCACCAATGAGAACCCATACTTTCCTTTGTCTGATCATGTAAACACTCTGTTTTAAATAAAATAACCCACAGTTGCACCATCCCTGGTATAGAGGCTTCCTGTTCTGCTGAATTTGATTTTCTTATTGTTTTGATGCTTTAGCTCGGTTCCATAAAATTGTTTCTGTAAGCTATCCTGGAACAGCTGATGGACTTGAACAATGGAGTTTAATTAACATGAGCGGATGGCTGAGGAGCAACAAAGCTTTTGTCACACAGACTAGATAAATTAGAAGCTCAATCCTCTGCAGGGTAATTTACACTGAGCTTCCTGCTGTGGGGCAGCTCAGGCTTAGAGTAAGTGCCTTCACCCAATAATGTTTAATAAAGAACTTATTTTTTTAACTTGTAGTTAAAGTTATAAGCAGCTATATACAGTCATGGGGGAACTACATCTTTTATGATACTATAAGTCTAGCAAAAAATACATTTTATAGAGTTTAAAAGTGAATGGGGCTGCAGGAGCTGCTGATCAAAAGCCCAGATTCACTAATCTTAAAAAATAAAAAGAAACAAAAACTCTATAAACAGGAATAGACGGTTTGCTGCATTGGAGCACATGATTATGTCTTTACACAATGTCAACAAGGGAGGAGATGAAAACCAACCTCCAAAAAGTAATTATTGG